TACTGGGCTGGTAGGGCTAGCAGCCCTCGATGGCGCCCGAGATCCAGCTGTGAGTGACGAAGGAACGGGGAGAACCTGGTCGCTATTGTTATTAAACTTGTTGACCAGGTCTTTGAATGATGTCTGCCTGGCCCTGGTCGTCGAGGCCCGCGCGGAGGAGCCCCAAGCGGAGTTACCACCAACGCCCTTATACGACGAGTCGGAAAATGAACGACCCTGACCCGCACTCCCGCTTGAGGACTCGATCGAATGTATTGGTACCGAGGAAACACGCTGGAATAGATGGGGACGCTGCTCTGCGGTTACGTCACTCTGGTCTTCGCCCACAGCACCATCATTCACAGTATAATTGCCTGTGGGCAGTTGCGCTCGATAAAAGTCGTCAGGGTCAGGCGAAGATCGGCCAGAATTGTCCTTATGATCGTCGGAGGGAAGAGTTGCAGGTAGGGAGTAAGGTTGCAGGCTTGTGAAACTCGGTTCAGTGGGATACGTTTTACCCGACAGAGAAGGAGAGAAGGAGGGCGCGGCTAGGGAGACGTGGTAAGGGTCGTTTGACAGGGAACCGTAATAGGAATTGTGAATATCGTGGGTGTCTGAGGAAGATAACCGCGGGCTGACGTCCAAGAGCCGGGAAGCGTGTTCAACATCACTCCCGGTCATCTTGCATCCTTCAGGCGGAGAGTCAGCGGATTGTCCTCCTTCGACTCTGCCCTTTTCCCAAAGAGAGGTGGGCAAGGGAGGAGGCTGGATGAGAAAAAAATCAATGCGAAAAGAAAGGAGCAAGTACCCAATAGAAGATTTGGTTGGGAAGGGGTGGGTGTTTTCCAGGTCAAAGGTACTAATCTCTTGATGCGTTGTTCGCCGCTGGTAGGCCACCGATGAGGTTGCAGGTTAACCGGGCCAGAACTATAAGGCAATCATCACCGGGTAGTACCACCCGAGCACGGCGTCATATTTGAGACGAGTTGAGACCACCAAGCCAGAGAGGGACGATTCGAAAGCCGTACCACCGAAGACCGGAAGATTTGTCAAGCTGCTGGACTCAAAATAGAAGCGGGGACTGAAGGAACAACAAACTGCGAGACAGCCGTCTGTCAGCAATGACCCCCAGGTGGATAAAGGGCGACAGAGAGAAAACCAACAACAGCAACAATTCCTGTTGGGTCAGACGACGGGCGGAACAAACGTTTGCACGGCGTCGAGCAGGGGTGAGGGGGTGAGGGGATGTAGAGGAGGTAGGTTGGTGGTAATGTGGGTGATGGTTGACGGAAGCAAGAGAAAGAAGAGGGTGTGTGGGAAGACGTAACAAGCGGGCCGAGAGGGGAGGGGTTTGTTGAGGTCAAAGTGGCAGGGCAGGGTAAGACCGTAGTCAAATAAAAAAGAGAAGAAACAAACCATTCATTGATTCAATTCATTCATGGATGGATGACGAACAGCAACCAAACGGTACCCATCAAGTAATCGATAGGAAAAGCCCAGACCCAGTGTATCCAGTCAGTCCAGTGTCGGGTTGCTTCCTATCGATTGGGAAGGGCTGCAGGTGGGCCGACTACTTTCAGATGCCCCGTTTGATGGATTGGAAGGGTGTGGGTGTGGGTGTGGTCACTGTGTGCGTGTGTTCCCTCTAACATTTGTTTTTCTTTTTCCTTTTCCTTTTATTTCTGTTTCCAGAATTTCTTCTTTGATTTTGGTAGGGTAAGGGGACTGGAAGAATTACAGATTACTTGATGCGTCGGTAATTTTTTTGGTACTGGGGAGCGACTACCTAGTAACTTACTAGTGACGGCAAGAATCGACCTTGGGTTTGAAAGTGGATGCGGAGAAGGTGGATAATCAGGAGTAAAAAGCGAGGGGAATCCACCCAAGGAATTGACCAGAATTCTGAGACGAAAGGGTGACGGGTGTGCAGAGGGCAGAGGGGGTAAAGGGAAAAAAAAGAAGAAGAAAAAAAAAAAAAAAAAAAAAAAAAAAAAAAAAAAAAAAAAGAACCCCTCCCCCTGCCCACACCCCCCATTCTAGAACTAGTCGAAGAAAACCAATATAGAAATTGTATGATAATAACAATGTTAACCCGACCGAGGGCCCCTAAAAAAGAGACTTTCTCTTGACATCCTAAACCGCCAGAGTTTGAAGACAAAAAGAAATCCACAGACAAGGCCAGATGGAAAGACTGGATGAGAGAGCAAGAACCGCGAGGCTATCTAAGAGGCTATAGTCTAGTAGGTACTAGGTAATCTACCTATCTACTCCGTACTGAGTTAATCAGTACTAGTCAGGTATGTAACTACTGTACTAATCCCTACCTCGCCCGTCTGCTCAGCCTTCAGCTCAGCCTTCAAAATTCTGTAACTACAGTCATAATACACATCCTCTCCGGGTGTCTCGCCCTGCAGAGGTTCATTCCAGATTGAAGGGGCAACGTGTGGCCGACGAGAGAAGAAGATTCGATGAGTCGATTTGCGAACACCTCCACGGGTCCAGTGGCGGAATCTCCGTGCGCACTTCGATTTCATAGGTAGGCTGGTATCTGCCTGACCACCGGAAGATGATGGGATAGTGCTGGAGAGAATTCCGCAGATAGTTTAGTAGACGAGACAGAAATCGATTGATCTGCTATGGCTGGACGCGAGCATGGAAGCCATAAAGAAGTCGGCACATGAACTCTATTCCCTTCCATTGGAGACACAACCGTTAGTGGTGTTAGTCGGATCGGGACTCGTCGTCCCTTCGGGCGTTCCATGGAACACTTTCCCCGCTGAGCTTTGTTCGCTGTGGCGCCTATTCTTCAAAGGGCTGGATGAACTACTATCGATCTGCCTCGACCAAAACTCCTCAAGATTGGCATACTTGAGGTATGTGCGAAAACCGTCTCGTCCATACGTCTATCTTTGTGCATATATATCTCTTCCCGGTTACAATCAAGAGAGCTTACTCCAACTTGACGTACACAGAAGATAAGGGTCCTAATTTATTGTGCTGAGTCGACGCGGTAATATACCTTGGCTAGCCTGGTATTCATTCTCTTCCATTTTTGCAGGATTCGAACAAATGACTTGTACAATATGGTTCTTACGATCTCCGCGCCCAGTTTCTTGGATTGTCAGGTCTTTGACAAGCAATACAAATCACCGATTCCTTTCCATGTGCGTTATAACCCTGCATAGTCTATTTCACTATAACATCAAAGGTTCCAGATTCCGGAGCTTGGCTCTTATGACTTTCTCTTTTCGGTCGAAGCAGGAGGACAATGCCATCGGCGATCGACTCCTATTTCCGAGCCTCGCAAGCTGTAGTCGATTTCGCATCCGTCCCAACACGGTACCGCTTCATGCTGCGACTTTTGCCTGTCTTAAATGACAGTAAGACGGCGCAAGGGAAAGATGGGTCCATTTCGACAGTTGCCGGGAACGCAAGCAGAACTGCCCCAGTAGGTTATTATCACGGTCGCACAGTAAATGTCTAGGCGAGACAAGTAAAAGGTGGCACACGGGGCACCAGCAATTTCACTCCGTACTACCCCAGTCTACTAGTATCCTGCGTAGACAGATTTTGCCTAAGGTCAGCCATGCAGAACGATCGTAGTGCCAATTGGGGACTGCCGATGTCCAGGTTTTCACTGTACTCCGTGTACTACTAGATTCTATAATTCGAGCTAGTCTGCAGGCAATGAGGCATACCAGATCACTCGTGTTGTACTTAGCCTATACATATACTCATCCCACCACAAGATTGCCGTATCATATATCCAGCAGCTTGTGATTGGAATACAAAGAAGGCTCTTCTAAGGTGCTCACCAATGGTAGAACGATCACTTTCATTTGCAGAGTGCATCTGCACCAACTTAGCGTCCTCTCCGGAAAATTTCATCAGCCTCCAGGATGTCCGGAGAACAGGCTTGACGTACTGTACCTGACTGGATCCACTTGAGCATGTTCGGCCTATGGACGATTTGTGATTCGGAGTGGGTGACATGATGCCGGGTGACGATGTTAAATATCTTACTGGCTGGTCAGCCTCTGTTCGGCTCGTCGAGGATATACGGAGTAGAGACAGAACAATAATGATGAGATCCCTGTCTCCTACAGCCCAGGATACCCCCGGAGGCACACCGCTTCTCTTTGACGATGGTCCGTTGGCCTGTCTTCCTTGCAGTTGAGAAAATGTCCCACAGATACGGAGTGGATGTACTTGCTTTCCCAGGGCGAATCTCAGGGCCGTGATCATTCTTTTTCCTCCCAGGAGGCAGACATAGATAGTAAGCAGTTACACCATAAACCCCCAGCATTTTGCCAATCTCGTTCAAACAACACCAAACACCTGCTGAGGGGAGCATGTTGAAGCGCGAGGCTGACGTTGTGGGGATGCAATGCGGCAATCTGTCTTTCCTTGCTACGTAGGCCGCTGCTAAAAGCCTAGCGCGGCGACCTTTCTAGACCACCGTCGTTCCAAGGATCTGGCACAGCCGACCATCCTTGTCCGTGCGAGCACCATGGCTATGATTATTACTACGTGCGATATTTGGGGTCATGATTGCCGGACGACAACCTCATTGTGATACTATTATTATTGGTGACCAGCCCCATCTCTTTCCGGAGCCTCGATCTCCTGGCCCATTCAAAAGGGAGGGTCCAATTCCCCATGCTTGTAATCCTGTCACTCGTGGCTTCTGCTCAGTGAAACAAAAGCGGCGGTAAAATAAGATGAAGACCGAACCCCCGTGGTTCTGTCCTCAGTTGACCACACATTCAAACAAAGTAAATCCTTTGGGGAAAAAAAGGTAGACAGATCAACATCATCATGCAGCAGACAGGTGCTACTTCCGCTAAGCTTGAAGGATGGTCTGCACCGAGCATCTTTAAGCTCAAAACAGAGTACCGGTACGTATGTACGTGTACAAAGAGAGTTCAATCAATAAAAACTGTTAAGTTATCACTAGCCACCCGCCGGCCCGCCGGATGTCGCTCTCTTGCATCCCGCAACCCTTTTGACAGACACCTGCAAATGCTGTCTACAAGAGACAGCTTCCAGTTGAGATACATCAATATTTCAACATTGCGAAACAGATAGCAGCAACATTTGCTGCTGACTGCTGTCTTTCACCATAGGAGTCAGTGCCGATGACGAGTATGCTCTCTCGTGTGCAACTATTTCGCGGTTGGGCCTGTAGGGGCAGAGATCGGCAGTCGCTTGAAAAGGTTTTCATGGTCACCGTTATTCAGCGAGGCACCTGAAGCAAGCCTTCTATTACCAGTCTAATACATCGTGACTGGATCTTACTTCACTTTCGGAAGAGCTGTACAACAAGACACACGGTGTTGTGTGTACCGAGGATTATCCTCGGTGCCTCTCATCGCCCCCTAGAGGTGACGGGTCGGCAGTTTCGAGCCATACATGGGATCCTCGATCATTTGCCGTCCTTTTTCTTTTTCCTCTTCTTGTCTTTTTTCTAAGGATCTGCGCCCCTGGCATCCACTGGGCTAGGACTTCACGGAGCAGAATTTGGACATATCGCAGACCGAACAAGGTTCATGTAGACAATAGGTGATCGTCCCAGCACCCTAAATCTGATAGAGTTCGCAGGCTGCAGGATCGCACCGCATTCCAGACGGGGGAGAGCTCGCTTCGAACAATACGGTAGGTGCCCGGAAGGTTCCCCCTTCCCTTCCTTCTCCTTTCTGCTACATGCACTTTCTTCCTTCCCCAGCTCGGGTGCCCATCAATAATTGAATCACCGAAGACATGTTCCATTGGGGAATAGCTTACGTCGAGGAGTGGAGGGGGAGGGGGTTCTTTTGTCTCACTGTAAAACACCACCTCACCTCATCTCTGTTCGATCGCCCAAAACGGACTAGCTCCCATTGATCGCCAAACTGGGGAGAAAAAAAGGGACCGCAAGGCTGTGTGGCCTTCCCGGAGTCCCTTAGTTTAGTAAGTTAACATAGTAAGTTACTCGTTAGAGTAACTAGGTGGTACTCCGTACTTGACTGTCTGTCTATTCCTGTATACGAAAGGACCTTACCCCGAAATGGGGTGTTGCTGCGCTTGCCAGGTGGCCGGAAAAACTGTTCTCAAACTGCTGCAGTGGGACAGACAGCCTGCCCAGTGTGCCTCTTATCTTTCTTGATTGGCTTGTTTCTACGCGATCCAGGAGTAGCGCGTCCTGGCGCGTCCCGAGTCCCCAGTCACTCATCCGCGCGCTTCCTCTTCTCCGCCAAGAAGTATCTACTTACATTGGCTGACTGGGTCAGCTACGTCCATCATAGTTCGTCGCCCGGCAAAGGCGCCGGGAGATCTGCCTGTCGTCCGAGTGAAGCTGAGGAGCGATTGGATCTCGTCTCCTTTTACATGGGGAAAAAGAGGAAGAGGCCCGTGAAGGGCAAGCATGCGCAAGGCCATTCGTCGCAGATTCGCATCACTGCGGCCTCCACCGGTTTCAGGAATCAAAGTGGCTTTTCTGCTGACCACGCGACCAAACTCACGCACCCGGTAATATCGCTTTACTACCAGGAAGTGGTCACATTGAGACAGTTCCTCCTGCGCCAAATACCATCAGCCTCACGGTCCCGTCGTCGAAAAATCGCATCAGTCCGAACGGATCTCGAAGAAGGCGCCAATGACTCGTGCTCGAATTCACAGCGAGAACTAGCTATTCTCCTTGATTCTACTTTGGTGGGGATCACGCAAGACCCATCCCCTGCCCGTGATCAGGAACGAAGCCAAGAGCTGGCTGCGTTGCGCAAATCTCAACCCAAGTCTCAACTAGCGAGCACAGACACTGGTCCGCCATGTGCACAAGCAGAGGTATGACTCTCACACGAGTTTGTCGTATTTCATCCCGACAGCGCTGTATCTGCTTGCGTTCTAGCTCATAAAAATCACTCCCTTGTGAATGATACTGAGCATTGAATGAATATGCGCACAGAAAAGCTGACTTGATTCTGTAGCTTGTGGACCGTGCTATAGCATTGATCTGGAAGCCATTTCTCTCCGAGTCCAAGAAAAGGCCGCATCACCTTCTGACCCGGGGATTTCGAAGTGTTGTTGAGACGCACTTCTCGAATGAAAATGTTCAGAAGCTCAAAAGTGCCCCTTGGACGGAGGTCTTGGGATTACTGGGCAATAATGGGGAAGTCATTATGCTGTATCTCTTGTGCGATTGTGGGATTTTCACAGCCTTGGACTCACGCAAAGGCATATACCACCAGATCTGCGGTTCGTCCTCCTCATCAAGTCACATGGAGGTGATACACGACTGATTGAATGAGCTAGGATATTCTCTCGAGAAACTTGATCCCATCAACACGAAGCCACAGCAAATATCCTTAGAGCCAAATTGTTCCACCACTGGCAAAGGATCCGTGGCGGTTAAGGATGGCCAGCAGATGACGGTAAATTGCTGTTCGAAAAGCCAGTCGAACTGGCGGACGCCGAGTGCCATTGTTTTCAATCGTCACCGCATGCTTTACGCTTCGCCCATGCCTGTCACCAAAGGAAAATCAAAATTGGGCCTAGGGAACCGTAAGTAGTCCCCAGTCCTTTCTCGCTATCATTATACTCATAAATGGTGTAGATGTCCTCAACCATTATTCCTCGTCCATCTCGCAGTCCAAGGCCGTGCACGTCATGCAACACATTTTCCCCTTGCAGTTTGCACTGACAAACGTTTTCAAACCTGACCCGGAGAACGACTTGAAGTTTTCATCGCGTGAAGATGAGATCGCAGCGAAATCAAGGAAGCGAAAACGATCTTCCACAGACTCTGAGCATCAGATCACGAACAATGAACGAGTCAAGCCGGTGAAGATCCCAAAGCGCCTTCAAGGACAGGCGTTGGAGCTGGTTCGACAATTACTCAATCGCCATAAAAGCTGCCCGTACGGACACTTGTTGGACTACTACTGTTCTTCCGAGGTAGGTGTAACTAGCGACCCTACGAGTGATATAACAAGCTAAGAATCTAGCGTATTGGTCCATGGAAACTCGGCCCACGGGACTCCCAATCGAGCGCTGAATTGAACCCCCCGGCGTCCGAGAAGCTGACAACCCAGGAACGAGAACTCGAAAGGTATGCATTGAATGGGGATGTCTCTACTTCGGAAGGTCAGAAAGAGCATGATCATATCGAAAGACCCGCGTTTGTCGCGGGGGAGCCGGCGATCAAATCAGCAACTGTATTGAAGCCCAGTTTGACGGACTATGCGACCCCGACCTCTTCCATCTCAGCCTATTGTCAAGCCGCTATCCGTAAATTGATTCCACCACAATTCTTCGGCGCCGGACAGAACAGAATTCGCAATCAAAGTGTAATTTTCAAGTACGTTGATAGGTTTGTCCGTATGCGACGGTACGAAAACATGTCCCTCCAGGAAGTGTGCAAGGGCGTTAAGGTTTGTTTGCACAAACTCAAGATCGACATCGTGTCATGCATGCTAACGGGCCGATTATTGCTTGCAGATATCTTGCATATCCTGGCTCGGTCCCGCTGCTGGCCGCGATCAACTTGTCGATCCATCACATCATAAGCTTTCGCTCACCGACCTGCAGAAGCGCACGGAACTCTTTCATGAGTTTATGTACTACTTATTCGAATCCATTCTCATCCCCATGATTCGTGCAGCCTTTTATGTCACCGAATCTCAGTGCCACCGAAACCGGCTGTTCTATTTCCGACACGATGTCTGGCGTACCTTGACCGAGCAGCCAATAGATGAACTGCAGGCTTCTATGTTCGAAGAATTGAAGCCGGAAGAAGTTCAACAGGTGCTAGGTCAGAGGACTCTGGGGTATGGATCGTTACGCCTCCTACCAAAAGCCACTGGTATTCGTCCCATCGTGAATCTCAAACGACGGATGCCATCATCGAAACGCACTGTGAATTCCACGGTCGGTCCCATCCTCAGTGTGCTGAACTACGAGAAGATGCACAATCCAGCTCATTTAGGTTCGTGCCTAAATTCGGTTGGGGAGTTGTATTCTCGGCTGAAGAGGTTCAAGAGGGATTTACTCGCGCGACAGCCGGTGGCTGTAGGTTCATTGTCTTTACCTCGGCTTTACTTCGTCAAAGTCGACATCCAGTCTTGCTTTGACACTATTCCACAACAAAGTATGGTTCGTCTCGTCGACAAAGTGGTTTCTGCAGACGCATATCATTTTACAAAGTACGTCGAGATGAAGCCGGCAGACGAGTTTAACAATATGTGGCCGCTTCATGGGCAGCGGCAAAGCCGGGCCTGGAAGAGATGGGTGGGTAGAGCAGCTCCAACAAAGAGTCCCCTGAATTTGCAAGAATTAGCCAGCAGAGGAGGCACGAGCCGACGAAGGAATACTGTCTTTGTGGATACATTCTGGCAATGGGAGAAGCATTCCGATGATCTACTTGACCTTCTCGAAGAGCATGTACGGAACAACATGGTCAAGTTCGGAGAGCGCTTCTTCCGCCAGCGCAACGGTATTCCCCAGGGCTCGGTCCTCTCCAGTCTGCTGTGTAATCTTTTCTACGCGGAGATGGAACGGGAGGTGCTGGAATTCCTCCGATCCGACAACACTCTGCTTCTTCGCTTGATCGATGACTTCCTACTCATTACGTCAGACCTCGCCCAAGCCAAGCGCTTCCTGCAGGTGATGATCCGGGGCCAGCCAGCGTATGGGATCTCCGTAAACCCAGCCAAGAGTCTGGTCAACTTCTCCGTCCAAGTGGATGGCGCGCACATCCCCCGCATCGTAGACGCTAGGTTGTTTCCTTACTGCGGTAGTCTGATCGACTCCCGCACTCTAGAACTACACAAGGACCACGATCGGATTCTCGACGGGGGCGAATCGGTCGCGGCGAGCCTGGCCAACTCCTTGACCGTGGAATCGACGCGAACTCCAGCCCGCTCACTGCATCGCAAGTTACTCACGTCTTTCAAAGCGCTCATGCACCCCATGTATCTTGATACTCAACACAACTCGGTCGAGGTCGCACTGGCGAATCTATATGCGAGCTTTGTCATCTCGGGCATGCGGTTGTACCGGTACACGCGCTCCCTGTCCGGACGAGCACATCCTGCACCAGAGGTCGTAGTTCGGATCATCCGTGATCTTGTCTATCTTGCCAACCGTTTGATTCTGAGCCGTCGACAAGAGAAGGCCAACTCCTCGGCCGCGATATGTTCTGCGCAACCGGCCGAGGTCGAGTACTTGGCGGCGGCAGCCTTCCAAGCCGTTCTTGGGCGCAAGCAGACGCGGTACGTAGGTGTCCTGCGCTGGCT